CTGCCACCAACAGAAGCCACTGAAGCAGTCCTGTGCAACCTCCTGTCGCCGGCCTTCTCTTCTGCCAGGACATGCATGGAGCGCTGCACAGTACTGGACCCTTTACTGTTTTCTTTCCTGTGCATACAAATGTGCAATAAAGTTTAACTTCTAAGTTAGGCACAGTAAGAAATTAATAACAACTAATAAAATAGAAAAAATGTGCTATTCTAAGAGGAGCATGAATATGATCTCTAAATATTGTATGTAAGACATGGTTGTCACGCTAACTGAAGCCGTGGAAACTGAATCCTTGGATGGGAGAGACTAGTCTCTTGGGGTTTTGGACAGGGGATAACTATTTAGCACCTAGTGCTGACATTCTGGGGTGGCTTGTGCAGCCACAGGAAGATTTCTGCTTTCTCTCACTCCTTCTCAACTTTCCCAAGAAGCACTTAGCTACTAGTGTGCAAATTTTATCCCCACCTGATACACCCTCATTCTCACTCTCTCCAAGGCATATCTTGGCTCCAATGTGCTTTGAAAAGTCTTCTGAGGGAAAGAATGGGGTGATGGGTAGAACAAGAACTCTACTTTGTGGGGGTTTGAAATTTCCACAATGGAAGATACAAAGTAAAAATTTTGCTTATGGTCATTAGTTTTTTTTTCCTTCTCCTGTCTATATTCACATTTCTTTCTTCCCAACGGTGTGGTGGTCAAAAGCCATTCAGCATTTCATTGCACTCCTTAACATTCTTTAACACTCTTTAACATTCCTTTAGCACCCTTTCTCCAGTATTGGGAAAGTAACAAGTGCCAAGTATCCGTGCTCATTAGTTATGTTATAAATACTTGAAAATCTTAATAGAATTGCAACCAGGGCCTCAGTCTATACAGCTACCCCTGGTTCCAAGTCAATGTGTTTTCCTTAAACTATATGAAAATATAGAAACTTTTACAGTAGCTCAAGCTCAATACTTCTCCCCCCACTCCCCACACTGGTACATGGTCTTGAACTCAGAGCCTGAGTGAGGTCTCTTAGCGTTTTTTTTTTTTGTTGTTGTTCAAGGCTAGTACCTTACCACTTTAGCCACACCTCCACTTTTGCCTGTTAGTTGGTTAGTTGGAAATAAGACTTTCACGGACTTTTCTGCCCATGCTGACTTCAAAACCATGCTCCTCAGAACTCAGCCTCCTCAGTAGCTAGGATTATGGGCGTGAGCCACCGGCACCCAGCTCAGTTCAATCCACTTCTTAAACCGAGTAGTTTTAGATTCACACATAGTTGTAAGAAATGACGCAGGGAAGTCATATATACCCTGCACTTGCCACTTCCAGTGCTACAACCTTTGTGTGTATGTGGTGTCGGGGGTAGAAGCTGGTTCTTCCACCGTGCTTGGCAAGGGCTCTATTAGAACTTTATTTCCACACCCAATGGGAACACTCAGTAGCACAACATCACAAACTGGACGTCCAAGTTCGTAAAACTCACCCACCAAGATTAAACCGGATTCCTCCACTATCACATGGATTCATTTGTGTATTTAGAACAAAGCTGACAGCGCAGAATGAACTCTGAATTCAATTGGCTGATGCAGCCCCAACACACACACACACACACACACACACACACACACACACACACCAAAAAGCGAGTGCTGAATCTCTTCCTTGAACTCTGAAGAAAGTCAGTCAAGAGAGGAGATCTTGAATCCAGCGTCACAATGGCAAAGACCAAAGACACCTCCAACTCTCTTGGCTCCCTGCTTTCTGTCTTGGTCCTTCACACGAAGACCCCAACACCGTCGCTTTCTAAAAGTTCTTGCACGGAGCTGCTGTAGCGAAGCCTGCACAAAGAATGATGGAAAAGTGTCTGGCCAAGAATGCAAATAGCTTCTCCCAAAGCCGTTATTTCCAAGGCAGGTTGGACCCGTGGAACGGCTTTGCAGAAACCTACACAAGCAACGCCAAGAAAAGTGTGCAAGAATGCAAATCCCTACAACAGCCATCATTTCCAAGGCAGAGTGGAGTTTTATGCAAATCGAAAAGGAGCCATCCTACCCACCTTGGCTCATTCGTTCCAGACGCCACTTGGCATTCTGTGCGGAAGACGTACGGGGGACAGGCATGAAGAACTCGAGGTTCGAGTCCAGGAGGGAATGGAAAGGTTTCCTAAGAAGTGCCAACAGAAAGACTGAGCAAAACACTGTGCGTGTGTGCATTTGAGCAAAACACTTGTGCGTGTGTGCATTTGAGCAAAACACTTGTGCAATTGAGCAAAACACTTGTGCGTGTGTGCATTTGAGCAAAACACTTGTGCATTTGAGCAAAACACTTGTGCGTGTGTGCATTTGAGCAAAACACTTGTGCATTTGAGCAAAACACTTGTGCGTGTGTGCATTTGAGCAAAACACTTGTGCATTTGAGCAAAACACTTGTGCGTGTGTGCATTTGAGCAAAACACTTGTGCGTGTGTGCATTTGAGCAAAACACTTGTGCGTGTGTGCATTTGAGCAAAACACTTGTGCATTTGAGCAAAACACTTGTGCATTTGAGCAAAACACTTGTGCGTGTGTGCATTGGAGCAAAACACTTGTGCATTTGAGCAAAACACTTGTGCGTGTGTGCATTTGAGCAAAACACTTGTGCGTGTGTGCATTGGAGCAAAACACTTGTGCATTGGAGCAAAACACTTGTGCGTGTGTGCATTTGAGCAAAACACTTGTGCATTTGAGCAAAACACTTGTGCGTGTGTGCATTTGAGCAAAACACTTGTGCATTTGAGCAAAACACTTGTGCATGTGTGGATTTGAGCAAAACACTTGTGCATTTGAGCAAAACACTTGTGCGTGTGTGCATTGGAGCAAAACACTTGTGCGTGTGTGCATTTGAGCAAAACACTTGTGCGTGTGTGGATTTGCGCAAAACACTTGTGCGTGTGTGCATTTGAGCAAAACACTTGTGCATTTGAGCAAAACACTTGTGCGTGTGTGCATTTGAGCAAAACACTTGTGCGTGTGTGGACTTGAGCAAAACACTTGTGCGTGTGTGCATTTGAGCAAAACACTTGTGCGTGTGTGCATTTGAGCAAAACACGTGCATTTGAGCAAAATACTTGTGCGTGTGTGCATTTGAGCAAAACACTTGTGCATTTGAGCAAAACACTTGTGCGTGTGTGCATTTGAGCAAAACACTTGTGCGTGTGTGGATTTGAGCAAAACACTTGTACGTGTGTGCATTTGAGCAAAACACTTGTGCATTTGATCAAAACACTTGTGCGTGTGTGCATTTGAGCAAAACACTTGTACGTGTGTGCATTGGAGCAAAACACTTGTGCATTTGAGCAAAACACTTGTGCGTGTGTGCATTTGAGCAAAACACTTGTGCATTTGAGCAAAACACTTGTGCGTGTGCATTTGAGCAAAACACTTGTGCGTGTGTGCATTTGAGCAAAACACTTGTGCATTTGAGCAAAACACTTGTGCGTGTGTGGATTTGAGCAAAACACTTGTGCATTTGAGCAAAACACTTGTGCGTGTGTGCATTTGAGCAAAACACTTGTGCGTGTGTGCATTTGAGCAAAACACTTGTGCATTTGAGCAAAACACTTGTGCGTGTGTGCATTGGAGCAAAACACTTGTGCATTTGAGCAAAACACTTGTGCGTGTGTGCATTGGAGCAAAACACTTGTGCATTTGAGCAAAACACTTGTGCGTGTGTGCATTGGAGCAAAACACTTGTGCGTGTGTGCATTTGAGCAAAACACTTGTGTGTGTGTGCATTTGAGCAAAACACTTGTGCATTTGAGCAATACACTGGTGCGTGTGTGGATTTGAGCAAAACACTTGTGCATTTGAGCAAAACAGTTGTGCGTGTGTGCATTTGAGCAAAACACTTGTGCGTGTGTGGATTTGAGCAAAACACTTCTGCGTTTGTGGACTTGAGCAAAACACTTGTGCGTGTGTGCATTTGAGCAAAACACTTGTGCGTGTGTGCATTTGAGCAAAACACTTGTGCATTTGAGCAAAACACTTGTGCGTGTGTGGATTTGAGCAAAACACTTGTGCATTTGAGCAAAACACTTGTGCGTGTGTGCATTTGAGCAAAACACTTGTGCATTTGAGCAAAACACTTGTGCATTGGAGCAAAACAGTTGTGCATTGGAGCAAAACACTTGTGCGTGTGTGCATTGGAGCAAAACACTTGTGCATTTGAGCAAAACACTTGTGCGTGTGTGCATTGGAGCAAAACACTTGTGCATTTGAGCAAAACACTTGTGCGTGTGTGCATTGGAGCAAAACACTTGTGCGTGTGTGCATTTGAGCAAAACACTTGTGCGTGTGTGCATTTGAGCAAAACACTTGTGCATTTGAGCAATACACTTGTGCGTGTGTGGATTTGAGCAAAACACTTGTGCATTTGAGCAAAACAGTTGTGCGTGTGTGCATTTGAGCAAAACACTTGTGCGTGTGTGGATTTGAGCAAAACACTTCTGCGTTTGTGGACTTGAGCAAAACACTTGTGCGTGTGTGCATTTGAGCAAAACACTTGTGCGTGTGTGCATTTGAGCAAAACACTTGTGCATTTGAGCAAAACACTTGTGCGTGTGTGGATTTGAGCAAAACACTTGTGCATTTGAGCAAAACACTTGTGCGTGTGTGCATTTGAGCAAAACACTTGTGCATTTGAGCAAAACACTTGTGCATTGGAGCAAAACAGTTGTGCATTGGAGCAAAACACTTGTGCGTGTGTGCATTGGAGCAAACCACTCGTGCGTGTGCGGATTAGTGCCCCACCAGGGCCTCTTCTCCCGCACGGGTCGCGCGGTCCTCCGTTTCGTCCCGGCTTTCGGGGCAGGGCGCCCTCTGCAGATGGACGCGGGCCAGCACGGCGGCCCCGTCCCGCTTCGCCCCGCCTCCTCCCCGCCTCCCGCTCCTCCTCCTCCTGCTCCCGCGCCGTGCGCAGCCTCCCCGCGCTCGCCCCTCGCCTGCGGGTTGCCGTGCAAGTTGGCTCGTGGCGCCATGGAGGCCGCCGAGCCCCGCGCTGGGCCCGCGGCGGAGGCCGCCGAGGCGCGCGCGGCCGATGGCGCGCGGGTGCTGGAGGTGCTGCTGCGCGGCGGCGCGCCCTGGGGCTTCACCCTCAAGGGCGGGCGCGAGCACGGCGAGCCGCTGGTCATCACCAAGGTAGTGCACCCGGGGCGAGCGCGCTTCCCCCCAGGCCGGGGTTGGGCGCAGGCGCGGTGGCACCGGCGTCTTTGGGGCGCGCGTCTGGCGGGGTCCCCCCCCCCCCGTGGGGATCGCGGGGGGGGGGGAATGGGGGACCCGGTTGCGGCCCGTTCCCTGCGTGCGTGTGCGCCCCCACACGGGGAGGCACTTTGCAAGGAAACTTTCCAACGGGGTGAGGACGTGAGCATGCGTGTGTCCATGACAGGAAAGTCCGTGTGCGTGTGAGTGCGTGTGCAAGCGCGCGCGTGTGTGTCCGTGGATCTCGGGGTGGAGGGGGGGCATGGCTTTGCAACTTGCAAGGATCGTGTGTCAGGAGCAAAGCGATCTAGAACTGTGCGTGTGCAAGCGCGCGCATGGATGTGTCCGTGCATCTCGGGGTGGAGGGGGGGCATGGCTTTGCAACTTGCAAGGATCGTGTGTCAGGAGCAAAGCGATCTAGAACTGTGCGTGTGCAAGCGCGCGCATGGATGTGTCCGTGCATCTTGGGGTGGAGGGGGTGCATGGCTTTGCAACTTGCAAGGATCGTGTGTCAGGAGCAAAGCGATCTAGAACTGTGCGTGTGCAAGCGCGCGCGTGTGTGTCCGTGGATCTCGGGGTGGAGGGGGGTGCATGGCTTTGCAACTTGCAAGGATCGTGTGTCAGGAGCAAAGCGATCTAGAACGACACGCGCGTGCACCTGTGCAAGGCGCACAGCCACGAACTCGTGTCTCGGGGGTGCTTCGGGTGGAAAAGGGGGTGATCCGTGTCTGGGGGAAGAGTGGAGCGCGTCCCCCCCCTCCTGCGCCCCTCGTCCTCAGAGCGAAGGTCCCTGGACAGGTAAATATCCTGGACGAGGAGAAGCTTTGGAAGAAGGTGACGTGCGGGGTGGAGCGGCCTGCCTCACTCGCCACCGCAGGAAGAAAGGAAAGGAAGCCTCACGCACCCCACAAGGAAGGTTTCGGGGGGTAGCATAGCTTTATTGTTCAAGCAGCCAATGAGACTACCTATTTCTCCAATTGGGTCTTCCTTTGCCTGCCTGCCTGCCTGTCTGTCTGTCTGTCTGTCTGTGTGTCTGTCTGCCTGTGTGTCTGTCTGTCTGCCTGTCTGTCTGTCTGTCTGTCTGCCTGCCTGCCTGCCTGTCTGTCTGTCTGCCTGTCTGTCTGTGTGTCTGTCTGCCTGTCTGTCTGCCTGCCTGCCTGCCTGCCTGCCTGTCTGCCTGCCTGTCTGTCTGTCTGCCTGCCTGCCTGTCTGCCTGCCTGTCTGCCTGCCTGTCTGCCTGCCTGTCTGTCTGTCTGCCTGTCTGTCTGCCTGCCTGTCTGCCTGCCTGTCTGTCTGTCAGCCTGCCTGCCTGCCTGCCTGTCTCTCTGTCTGCCTGCCTGCCTGTCTGTCTGTCTGTCTGTCTGTCTGCCTGTCTGCCTGTCTGTCTGCCTGCCTGCCTGCCTGTCTGCCTGCCTGCCTGCCTGCCTGCCTGTCTGCCTGCCTGCCTGCCTGTCTCTCTGTCTGCCTGTCTGCCTGTCTGTCTGTCTGCCTGCCTGTCTGTCTGTCTGTCTGCCTGCCTGCCTGTCTGCCTGTCTGTCTGCCTGCCTGCCTGTCTGTCTGTCTGCCTGCCTGTCTGCCTGCCTGCCTGCCTGCCTGTCTGTCTGTCTGCCTGTCTGCCTGTCTGCCTGCCTGCCTGTTTGTCTGTCTGTTTCTGTCTTGGTACCGGGACTCTAGATAAGTGCTCTGTTACTCAGCTTACCCCTAGCTCCTCTCACTTTTATGTTTACAAAACCAGAGACTTAGAGGGGAGACGTTGTTGTTGTTGTGCACTGGATTTATGTTGAACTCAGGAAAGAGGTGGGCATAGTTATAAATAAATCAGTTTGTACTCCTGTATCAAGCGGATTCTTTGAAAAGACAGTGGGCAGTCGTGTACTGCATACTTCTTTCAAAGTGCACTAGCTTGTGTTTTTCCTTTCTTTGTGGTGCTGTGGATCAAACCCAGGCCTGGCACATTCTAGGCAATTCTGTGGTCCTACCACTGAGCCCCATCGCTGGCCTGGGCTTTCCAATGAAGGTTGTAGAAGGCATTTCTGATGGCAGCGGTTAAAAAGGTATAAAAAAATTCATGCATTTCTTTCTTTTTTTTTTTTTTTTGAGATAAGTTCTAGGTATGAAACGCAGGCAATCTTGGAACTCTCAGCCTTCCATATGTCAGGATTATAAACATACACTCCCATACCTTGTGTCATCAATTTTAAAAGTCCAAACATGAAAAACTTGATTCTGTACATCTTCCCCAAACACAGCTTAATAGCAAGTGGAATAATTGTGGAACATTATTGATCATAGAGTCTTGCTTTTTGGTTTTGCACAGTAGAAACAGAACTTTGCCTGTTGTTTTTTACCAGACTTGAAAGAGGCTTAGCTGAGCTCTTTTGTATAAGTTATCCTGGTTCTAAAAAGTCTGCATTCTTAGCGGCCTCCTACTTCTCTTTGCTTTCTAGAAATTGAAGGAGGTGCTGAGCAAACCAGTAATACTAAGCTATACCATTGAGCTGTGTTCCCAGTTTTATTCTGTTTTTATATGTGTTCCAATGGGACTAGAAAAGTCTTGCTGGGTGCCAGCGGCTCACTCCTGTAATCCTAGGCTTAGATCTGAGGATCTGGGCAGGAAAAGTTTGTGAGACTCTTTAATTATTTCAGCAAAAAGCTGAACGAGGTGCTGTGGCTCAAGTGGTAGTACACTAGCCTTGAGAAAAGAAGCTTGGGGAAAGCATCCAGGCCCTGAGTTCAAGCCCTAGGATTGGTGCTTGCGCACACAAGCAGAAAAAAAAAGTGGTTTTGATGCTTCAGGGCATTGGAAATTCAGAACTGCTTGGGGCTTTTGTTTTGTATTTCTATGCATACTTAGGCTCACACACACATGCTATTGCACGGATGCTATTGCACATGTGTGTTTTTAACCACAGGTCTCACTTCATAATACCAGCAACATTCTTCATGTTTTACATACCTGTCTTTTCTCCTATATTGAGATCATCAATGTTACTTGCAAGATGGGAGAGAGGAGGGGAAAATTAACTGTTGCAACATCATTTCAAAGTGGCTGGAGGCATGGCTCAGTGGTAGAAGCCTTCCTGGCTAGCATACCTGAGTTCAAGCCCCAGTACTACCCTTCTACACCCAAAAGGACACTTTTAAAATGATAACTATGAAGCGTATGTTTGTGATCTCTTAAAAAGTACAAGGAGAAATCTAGGCGCAGCTGGCTCACGCCTGTACTCCAAGCTACTCAGGAAGCTGAGATCTGGGAGTCATAGATAGCTTGAAGCCAGCCTGGGCAGAAAAGTCTGGGACTCTTATCTCCAATTAACCAGCGAAAAGCTGGAAGTGAAGGTGTGGCTCAAGTAGTATTGGGCCAGGCTTAAGTAGCAAAGCCAAGGGAGAATTTAAGGCCCTGGGTTCAAGCCTTAGTGTCAGCATAAGAAAAAGGGGACGAGGACATGGGAGAGTAGATGTTATGGTAGATGCTGGGGAAACTTTTCTCACTAGAAATAAAATTTATCCGAGTTTTGAATTTTTCTTTTTCCAGTAGCATCTGGGGATAATTAAATACCAGTTCTTGTCATCTTTTCTTTTGTACTCAAGTCTTTGCAATTAAATAGTTATATACACAATTAAGATTCTTTATTATCCAATTTGCTCTTCAGCTGACTTGGGTTTGGGGGTAACTTGATCAAAAGTAAGATCACACATTGTCTTGATGGTAGTGTGGGTATCACTTGAATCATTTGGATGTCATTTGAAAGTCTCATAGGAGTCATGTCAAAATGGGGCTGGGGACTGGCGATGGAGGTCAGTGGTAGAGAGCTTGCCTGGCATGCATGGATTCTGGCTCCAACACTGCAAACAGGAAGAGATGTCAAAAACCAAGCTGACTGTGTTCTCAGGTACAGAATTTTCCTGTGCTCATTTTGTAGATGAAACAGCTGTTGGCCAAACGAGGTGAAATTGTGTATACCTTGTCACCACAGGCCTGGCAAGTCCTGGGAAGTCCTCTGGAAATTAGATGGTGATCCCACATAGCCATAATCAATATTGTGGTAACATCTGGGAGGGACAGGTTTGCGGCACTGATGTTCTTAACTGTCTCAGCTGAATCACCTCAGCTCCCGTAGGATAGCTGCTGGGTGCCTTCTAGACCCACGCAACAGCCTCTCTCCAAACTGAAGGCCATTGGCAGCGGTCTCCAGGAGTGATAACCACAATGGTGCCCAGACATTGTAAATCATTTTGCTAGGTTAAAAGTAGCTTGCTGCCTTTTGCTTTTAAAAGACTTCTCGTGGCTTAATTCTCCTTTTTCAAGACTTTGGGTGGTTTGTTGAGAAGCCTTTGCCATTTCCAGTGTTTGTGTGAAGCTCTGTTTTCTTCTCTAGCTTGCCCCTGAGAAACAGCTTTATTTACATAGTAAAACGCAAACAAATACTCGCTTCATCTGTGTGTGTGTGTGTTTTTTTTTTTTTTTTTGTAGCCAGAGAAAGGAAAAAGAAACAGGGAGTCTCTCATGCTGTGTTTTATAAGATTACAGAGTGTAAAGTCTGACTTTTGTCTCTGATGTGAAGTAAAAGGACACTTAGCATCCTGGAGAGAAACATTCAGGAAATTTGGGGAGCTCCGTTGAAGTCTAGCAAGGCGTCTGCTCAGATGGCCACAGGGTTCCAAACTGGTTACATTGCCACTGTACTTGTAGCTTCAGATCTTGTTGCCTTCAGCATACAAATCCAAAGCTAAAAGAACAAAACAAAACAAAACAACAAACTCCACACCCAAAACCTGTTGTCCTGTGCTGCTCTGGAAGAAAGAACAGGAATGCTTTTTCAGATTCCGGGTCTGCAGGACTTGTCAGCATTTTGGAAAGTGCATTGGGATGTGGGCGCTCCCAGGGTCTGTGAGAATACGGATGAGGATGTCTGTGGTCCTGCTGAATTTTTTTTTTT